CTGTCTTTTTGAGCATGTTATCCGGGATATCTACCTCCTCGGTATGTGGGAGAGCGCTCGATATTCTGCTATGTGCTGCGGGGTCTCGACCAGCCTCAGCTCCTCCCGCCGAGTACATCCAGAGACGTGACACATCCGCTTTCTTATTATCATGGCGGTGTCGAGTTGTGCAAGACCTCTATGTCGCCACCTGTCGGGGCCTAACTCATTGGTGCGATGCCGGGACTACATGTACTGAACGCCTGACCGCAGAGTTTCAACTGCTGCACCACCCCCAAACTTTTGACGCAGAGCGCATCTCCTGGCGATTTGTCATCTATCTGAACCTGCTCCGTTCCGTGCGAAGGTAAGCATGCGCCGCTACGATCTCCGTCTCTCACGGTGAGCACGCCCAGGCTGACCTACGCACGCGGGGCTCCACAGGATCCTCGACGCAATCTCGCCAGAGGCGGACGCCGCGCACAGTGGAGTGAGCGATGGCTGCGCAGAGGCGACCGAGCCGGCCACAATCGTGTCCGGCGCGAGAAATGGACATGGGCACGCCGGCGCGGCCGCGCCCCAGAGAAAGGGTGGCATCCCCTTCGAGCGGTACGTGCGCACCCTCGCGCCGCTCTTCGACCTGGAGCACCGCCTGCTCACGCAGTTCTCGAACCCGGAGGACAACGTCGACAGGGAGCCGACATGCCTCCCGCCCGCAGCCGGCAGCGCGCACGCGCACGACGGAGAGGCGCGTGGCGAGGCGCTCCCTCCGGTCGTCACCCCCGCTTCTGGCTCGCGCTCGCTGCCGACGTCGCCCATCGCCCAGGGAAGCGAGCCGTCGGTGCACACAACGTCGAACTGGAAGAAGACGCTGTCGCTCAGGAGGATGCAGAGCCTGAAGAACGTGGATTTGGACGAGCCACAGAACTGGTGGGAAGACCCGGACGACCCCGTGCACACCATCAACCGCTACGCACCGTACATCGCGAAGCTATGGAGGGACGAGAGAGTTAAGCGGAGGCTATTAGAGAGACGCATCAGGCTCGAGGAGAGCAGTGGCTTGTGAGTCGTCGCTCGCCTAAGATGCCCTTTACTGTCCCCTCACTGCCTTTGAAAAGTTACCTCGACGAGCTGGACCGCATCACAGCCAAGATGTACTTCCCCACCAATGGTTCGTTCGCACGTCGCACAAGAAGCATCGCATGAAGTGCTGACATGGCACAGATGACGTTCTCAAGGCGCGACTGAAGACGACAGGCGTTATCGAGTGCACGTTCATGGTCCCGAACCCCGAGTTCCGCGGCGTCGAGTGGAAGATCTACGATGTCGGCGGCGCGCGCCCGCAGCGGCAGGCGTGGGCACCGTACTTTGAGGACGGTGCGTCTACCTCGCAACGCATTCATTGCCTACATCCCCACGCGTACCCACGGGCAGACTAACGTGCGAACGCTTCCTTCTGTAGTTGATGCCATAATCTTCCTCGCGCCCATCAGCGCGTTCGATCAGGTGCTCGCAGAGGTGCGTAGCAACGGATGCGCAGCTCTATTCGGCGCTGACTTATGCCGGGCGGCGAGCAGGACCCGCGGATGAATCGACTGGAAGATTCGCTCTACTTGTGGCGGTCGGTGGTATCGAACAAGATGTTGGCGAATGTGAGCATAATCCTGTTTTTGAACAAGGTGCGTCGTCCGCTGCTCTGGGGGCATCTCAGTCGCTGAATCCGGCGTTGGATAAGTGTGATCTCCTACGGGTAAGAGCTCTATGTATCGTCTCGTTCGTTCCGGAGGCTCATTTGATTGCAGAAAAAAATTGAAAGAGGCGTGAAGCTGCGGGATTATATGATAACTTACCGCGATAGACCGAACGACTATGACACGGTGTTTAGCTGTACGATCTTCTTCTTCTTTCTCCCATCCCATGTGCTACAGCACTGACGGGTGGGTAGACCTCAAGCTCAAATTCTCTGTAATTTTTTGGCACTCCCGAACATCGGACCGTGAACTTTACAGTATGCATTCCACTGTCGCAATATGGATACTATTTGACAAGGAATCTGCGATATCAGCTCACGGAACTTCGATGATAGATACACGAAGCACGCGATCTATTATCTTCAATGGTGCGTCTCAGGATTAAGCTGTATACGCGTTCTCTTTCTCAATCTCGTGATATAGTGCGGGACATCATTTTGCGAAGGATTATAGAAAGCTCCGACTTGCTATAAGGTTATTTTGTTACACTGTCTTACCTTTCAAAGTTCCACTGCCCCCCTTACACACATAATCTCTCTGCACCGGCCCTTCTCTGCAATGGCAACATCTCATATGGTCTGTAATTTTTAGTCTGCTTGCTGTATATTTCCTCTCCTCCGCGTACAGTACTCGTCTCGTATTCACCCGCACCTTCGTTACCTGTGCTTTCCCGACCTGTAAACAAGATTCGCGCTAACGTTTTTTTAAGTATACTGCTATGCTGATGCTATCTCAATACACGCTGGGGCTCATGGGCACGGTGCACTGAAATCAAAAAGAAATTGCGAAGATTTGATGTCATGAGCAATGAGTCAGGAATCGGCGCCTTTTTTTTAGCCTGTTGGCATGCTTTGAAGGTGACGCCTGTCAACTTACGACACGAATTGTCGCTTGAACCACTACAATGGCAGCCATGCACCGCCATCTGAAGCAGAAACTGCTGGGAAATGAGACCGAGGATGCTACATGCATCGCTATCGATGGCCTTCAACACGTTCTTGATGTTTTCGCCGAAGCTGCTGGAGATTTTGGTACGACGAGCTTGCAGAAGGGCGTCACCGGTCTGTCGACAGTATTCGCGATGATCCAGGTGTGTCCTGCGCCGTTTTGCTCAACGGGGGTACTCAAGGTAAAACTAGAAATCACATGTGAATGCCGAGGACATCGACAAACTTGCAGAGAAGGTCGGCGACTTGACTAGGATGGTAAAAGAATGCGCAGAACTGCACGAATCGAATATACCGCCCGCCATGCAGGCCAGAGTCGACCAACTGCTGTCGTGAGTCTCGTATTCGTGGTACAGCTCCAGACTACTGATGTTATACAGCTCCTGGAAGGTGGTCGACGATGAAGCTGCGGATCTCAAGTCTCGGAACAAGCTGTTGAGAAAACTGAACGCGGATAAAGAGACGAAGAAAGTCATCAATTTCGTGCAAAGATTATCTAGGTCAATCGAGAGTTTCATGGTAATAAAAAGTATCTTGGCTCGTGAGTTCGTCAGCTGATATAGCCTCTTCTCAATTGCAGGAGGGTGCCCCAGTAATCGAGATCCCGTTAGATGTATGTTGCGTGGCCTCCAGTGAATGGCGCATGCGCTGACCACAGACGAACAGGGCCTGTCTAAGAAGAGTCCACAGCACGGCGAGAAGAAGCCTGATGTGATACAGAACGATGTTCAAGTCAGTATCTCTCGTCAGCTACATATCTCACTGATTGACTCCTGGTCCTTACTAGCGTCTGCGAGCGTTCCTCTCGGAAGGTATGTACAGCGACGATAGAACATGGCATTGTGTTGATAATCTCAATCTAGGGAATTCGTTACTCCCTTACGCAGCCTCGGCCCCGTTCGACTGTCGCCCGGAGCGGATAGTTTGTCTCGAAGGGACATGTACCGACACCTTGAAAAGTATCTATACCTGGGCACTCGGCCAACACACAACTGGCGAAAGGGCCGATTCTACGCAAGACTTTACTCACGTCCAATCCCGCATTTTGTTTCTGAACAGTCCGGCTGGTACCGGCAAGACGACGATCGCATACACTGTTGCAGAGCGATGCCGTGCAGAAGGCGTTCTGGGAGCGAGCTTCTTTTGCTCTCGGTTGGATACCGATTGCAGCAGGCCCTCAATGATCTTCACTACAATTGCGTACCAACTTGGATTGTTCTGTAAACCATACAAGGATCGAGTCGCTGAGATACTCCAGAAGGACCCTCTTCTCGTATACTCCGGCGTCTCTCACCAGTTCAGAGAGCTGATCATGCACCCGCTAGCGCAGCTCTGCGATAACTTTCCCCCATGCGTGGTAGTTATCGATGCACTCGACCAGTGTCCAGATCACCACGCTGCTTCCGAGGTCGTGTCCGCTTTGCTAAAGCATGGACGGGATCTCTATCGTCTTCGATTCTTTGTCACCAGCTGTCCCGAGCATCATATTATCACCAGCTTCGACACTCCAGGCTATTGTAATGCCGTTGGCCAGCCGCTCGTACACAAAATTGGGTTAGAGCCTGAGTCCGTCACTGCAGACATCGAGCGCTATCTTACGGTGGTTCTATCGGACATCCCAGAGTGCTGGCCTGGTAAAGCTAGCGTCGTAATGCTGACTCAACTTGCCAACGGCCTTTTCATCTCCGCTGCCACTGCAGTCAAGTACATTGAAGACCGGAGATACAGCGATCCTATCGGACAGCTTAAGGTCCTCACGCCCACTGTAGTGTTGCATGGCCCCTATCAGTTCCTCGACCAGCTGTACTTGCGGGTGCTCGAGAGCGCCTTCTCCGACATATCAGAGGGCTCCAGGCTACCGGGACGACTCGACTCTGTTCTGGCCGCCCTTGTAGCGGTAGTTCAAGATCCTCTTTCGATTCCCGACCTCTCACGCCTGGTCAGACTCACCGCTCATACGGTGTATACATCCCTTGTGCGTCTCCGTCCCGTCCTTATTGTGCCGGCTCTCGAAGACTCTCCGTCGAGCATCCACGTCATTCATCCTACCTTTGTTGAGTTCCTACTCGACTCCAGCCGCTGCACAAGCCGTTCGTTGTCTATCGGTTCGGGGAAGCAGCACGCGGAGCTGCTTCATGGATGTCTGGAGGCCCTGCAGGAGCTAAGGCGAGACATCTGCGACATCCGGGACCCCTCTCTGCTCAACATTGAGGTCCCTGACCTGTCAAAACGTATAGAGAAGGCGATCCCGGCACGCCTGAGGTATGCATGCCGGCGCTGGTGGATTCACTTAATAAACGGAGAGCTGTCGGACAAACTCCTGGACGCACTTTTGGAATTCGCGCAGAAGCAGCTACTGTATTGGGTCGAGGCATGTAGCCTGTTGGGTGTGTTGAGGGACGCTATCTCTGGTCTCAGTGAATCTCGGTGCAAGCTCATGGTGAGTGTGCTTCGCTTTCAGGGATGACCGCAACAATTAAGACCTCGAATAGGGCTTGAATAATGGCCGAGCTAGGCGTATTGCGCGTCTGCTGAACGACTGTGAACGGCTCATCATCGGTTTCCTCCCCGCGATAAGTGGTTCAACGCTGCAGTTGTACCATTCGGTCCTGCCATTGACTCCAAGGAAGACGACACTTGCGTGGACTTTTGCAAACGAGCATCATGCAGAGAGCTCTATCAGTGTTTATGGAGGCGTGGCAGACTCGTGGGACACCTGCTTGGGCACGGTCATGGCACATGAAGGCAAGACCGTCTATGCTGTCGACTATTCACCTGACGGCAGAACAGTCGTCTCTTCCGGTAACGACTGCAAGATACGGCTCTGGGATGCGCCCACCTGCAGCCTACTTCTCGTCCTCTCCGGCCATTCCGACTGCGTTAACTCTGTCAAGTATTCTCCGGACGGCGCTCACCTTGTTTCCGCCGCTGATGACTGCACGATCAAGATCTGGGACGCTGTATCTGGCATGCTTATCCACACCCTCAGGCTAGAGGCACACGCAAAGTTCATCCCCTGCGCAGTCTTCATGCCCGATGGCGGGCATATCCTGTCTGGTTCCGACGACGGTTCCATTAAGATCTGGGATGCCGGGACAGGTGTCTGTTTGACCACCTTGACTGCGCACCAAGACCGGGTCCTGTCTATTGCCGTGTCTCCAAATGGCCTTTGGATGGCGTCGAGCACAGAGAGCCTAGTTTGCTTGTGGAGCCTGGAGGCACCGTACACCCATCGTGTCCTCCAGAATCGGGAAAACAAGAAAACATCATATTCTGTTATCTTCGCGCCAGACAGTTCCAAAATTTTGATCGCCCCGGGTGGTGGAGACTCAGGGCAGCTGTCTGTCTGGGACGTTAAGACCGCCGAGCGTCTCCATGACATTCAGCTGTCCCTGTCTATCTGTAGCCCCAGTTTTGTCCCAACCGGAGACAAGCTCGTATGTGGATCAGGGAGCTCCGTCCTCGTCTTGGACATTGCAAGCGGCGAGGTTCGGCAAGCGTTCGCCGGTCACACCAAGGACGTCACGAGTGTCGCCCACAGCCGAGACGGTACCCGCATCGTGTCTGGCTCGTGGGATGGCACCATACGACTGTGGGACACCACGCAGGATGCGGTGGACGTGCCACGACTCGGAAACGCCTTCGAGTCATCAGATCCGTCTAGCGAGGGTTCGGGGTCAGTGGACTGCCGCTTGGCCGTCTTCTCTCGCGACGAAAGTCGTGCGCTATTGATACACGACAATGGCTCTGTCAAAGTGGGCAAGACCGATACGGGAGACTGGGCATTTAACTCTCTGTCCTTGTCCCCAGAAGACGAGCACTATGCAGCGTTCTCACCAGATGGCGCAGCGATCCTTACAGCATCGCAGGGAGATTATGACAAGATCGCGCTCTGGGACACTACCTCCGGATCGCTGCGGGCCCAGATTGAGGGTGAGCTGTGGGTTGCGCTCTGGTCCCCCCTTTACCGGGATGTGTTCATGTGGAACGGCGTCTTGGGCTACAAGCCGCACTGCTTCGGCGGTCAGTCGTCGTCGATCATGTTCTCGCCTAACAGCCAGTACCTACTCACGGGGACCATCTCTGGAGCTGAGAGCCTTCGTGAGCACTCTGCCTGTCTCTGGGATGTTGCGACAGGCAAACTCCTTCGCGAGTTTGTGGGACATAGTGACGATGTTTTCTCCACTGCGTTCTCTCTCGACAACAGTCGTATCGCAACGGGCTCTCGAGATGGGACCGTTATCATTTGGGACGTCGGCACTGGAGCGTCTCTAGCGACATTTATGGGACACCACGGCTGGATTCGTTCAATCGCCTTCTCTCCGAACGGAGATCGTGTTGCGTCAGGAAGTGATAATCGTCGCCTTTTGGTGTGGAGCATCGAGGGAGGGGAGCTGCTTCAACTGTTCGAGGAGCATACAGACTGGGTATGGTCGGTCGCCTTTGCTCCTGGTGGGGACGTCATCATCTCTTCGGACGACAAAAACATGCGGCTCTGGGACATTGAAACAGGTGCTTGTCTCCTCGTCCTCAACCCAGATACCTGGTATCACACCATCCCCTTGTCCCCTGATGGCTCTGGAGTCCTGGTCGACAACGGAGAGAGACTCGTTGAGCTATGGGCACCTCTTGATGTAGACACGCAAGCGACGACATTGTTTCCTTGGCTTCCACGCCGCACTTGGCCTATGTACTATGAAGAGGACGGCTGGATCTTCTCGCTGACGCCAACCCGGCGGACGCGGTTGTTTTGGGTGCCGGTAGACTGGCAGGGCATAGTGGGATACCTCGGGCAGAATGTAGTATTCGGAAAGCAGTGTATCAGGCTCAATTTCTCAGCGTTGAATAGTTACCTCGAGGATTTGTGCATTGCTCATGTACGGTAGTGTATTCAGTATTTCAGTTGTATTTGTATCTGCTTTGCGTGCAGCAATTACTGTATGTCCCACAAGTCAATATCATAGCTCCTGACTGACCAATATTGCCCATCCTTTCCTATTTCCGTCTACGAAGTACTGAGAACAGCGGAGGAAACGTGACGGCTCCCGTAACGGGAAGTGACGAGAGGTGTAACGGTTCGCGACTGTGATATGTCACGTCACGTACGCTGTGCTTCTTTCTCGTTTTCTCTCCCTTGGCATCGATGGTCACCCAACAGTAAGGCCCAGCACTCATTAGCACTCCTTGCCTCTGTTTTCGAATCCACCATACTGCCGGATGCAGCTCTTCGCATGTTTCACGTCGTCTGCTAGATCTAAGATCTGCTCAGTACTCGCTGGTCTGTCCGCTGGAATTTGATAGAGGCTTATGGGGAGAAGGAGTTAGGCTGAAAGGTGTCAAGCCTAGTTGTAAAGTGCGTTACCCGGCCATATTTGTGCGAATGATGCTCAGCATGCGCAAGCGGGACGCTCTAAGCTGAGCGCGTCAACATGTGCGCGCAGATCACGAAATGCACCCACCTCCTTGGCGGCTACAAGGAGCGGGTGACTTCGCCCGCTGCACAATATTTCGCATCGCTCGGGAACGCTTGTCTAAGAACTGACCTCAGCAACGCTAACTGAAGCGGCATCAAGCTGAAGCTGCGTGTCCGGCGACCACACGCCCTCTGCGCTCGTCCATGGTAATCTCGGCGCCCGGCACGGTTTCAACACGATTACTGCGACTCACCAGCGAAGATGACGAAAGCAATTGGATCGTCGTGTCACAATTTCGGCAGTACACGCGTGGTCGCAGCAGTGTATCAAGCCAAAATTACAAAAGCAAGCTATAGTAAGTGCGAAGCATTCACTAGCGGTATGCCTGTTAACTCTGTGAAGGTTATTCCCGCAGAACCAGAACGAGGGCTAATTTTCGAAGTGGCACGTGCTGTCGAGGGCGTCGTCCACATCCCGTAGGTACCAGATGAGCATGTTCCGGCGTCTCAACAAGCTCAAGTGAGAGAGGTTAAGGTCGTGGAGGTCATTGAGAGCACGGTCAAGAAGCTCACTGACTCGACGCTGTTCGTCGCAATATCTGGCAATCTGGATAATGTTTCGCTGAACCACTACGCCGACGTTCGCCTGAAACACCTTCAGGAGAGGCTTAAGCCTGGAGGGAGCATCAATTGCCGCGTAAGTTACCGTACGCTCTCTCACGACCATTACGCTCATTCCTTTGCTAGGTCTTGATGGTCAACCGCAAGCGAAGGCGTGCTGTTCTTACCGCCAAGAAGGTCCTGATTGACTTATCCTTACTTATTGTAGCAAGCTTGGATGACGCGAAGGAGGGCTTTATCATTCGCACGATTGTTATCAGGGCATCAGAGAAGAGCCCGCAGGTCAAGTTCCACAACAACTCAAAGGCTATTGTGCCTACTCGAGAGGCCAGGTAAGGCCACGTCTGCCACAATGCAACCCTCATTCTTATGAAAATAATCTAGTGATACCATAATTGCGTCGCTCTCTGAAGCCCTCATAATGGGTAGGACCGTCCAGGCCCGCATAATCTCTTGCAACACTGAGACGAGACGTATCGTATCTGGCATACGCCAAGCTTCAGTGAACTCCAAGGACACTGCCGCTATTCAGAATGTCGAAATTGGTCATTCAATCAGGGGCATTGTCTCTGGGCTTCAGAAGGAGAAGGCCATCGTCACGCTCAAGTTGACACGAGTTTGCGTGTTGCTTTCCCTCAATAACCTCATTGGCAGGCGCGGAAACACTGTCGCCTAGCTCCGGAGCGGTCTCACAGTTGGCAACAAATTGACGAGCCTTGTTAACTATTGTAACCCGGAGGAGAGCTTCGTTCTCGTCGCATCCAAGTCAAGGAGGAGGGAATCCTACAAAAAAGTGCCCTCATCCTCGAGAGTGCGCAGATTGGCCAAATCGTCGATGGTGTTATTGTACACCATATCCACTCAGGCACATCTGTAAAACCCACTTCACATATATCTGATTCCTTACATCCAACGAGCTTGCCCAACGTCTATGAGTCAGGAACACCTTCCCCTCCTGTTGGCACCATCATTAAAGCAGTGCTCATTGAAGCTGGCACAGACAACAAGACACTCATCCTGTGACTCCTGTCTACTCATTGTTCTGCCAGGAACCCGCAAAGCATGGGACCTGTAGTTGAATATGGCGTCAGCGATGTTTCGAATTGGAAGGCCGGATCGGCTGTCTGAGGCTTTGTGAAGAGTATGATGGAGTATAGTCTCTTTGTTACCTCAGACTGCAAATGGGTACAGATTGAAGAAATTTGTGATACAGTAGAATATCTCATAATGCATAGGGCGCTTACTGTCACGTGCCCCGAAGTTGGCCAGGCTATGGCATTTTGCTCCATACTTGTAAATGCATGAATATAAGAAAAATGCTACACCTCAGATCCACTGGAATGGACATACAATATAACTCTACCAAGCAGTTAACTTTTTCCATTGTTGCTATAGGCACTATGAATATTTTGGTGAGAAGATTGCAAAAACAGCGCTTGGCATAGATCTCGGCCGGCCAGGTGCACGCAGTGCTCAATCAGAGCGCTTAACTTTGGCCAAGCCACCAAGAGAGCACACAGGTTGCCATTTGGCCTTCTACAGTTGTTGCACAGCGCAGATTAGGAATAAAATGTATGTATTACATTAAATATAGATAGGAGCAGGTTTTGAGTGTAGATAAATGTTGGGAAAGTTGCCTGTTCTGTTTCTATGGCACAAAGTTCTATGCAGGCATGAAAATAGCAGGTCAGCAGAGATGTGCCCTTGGCACACAACAAAAAAATGATCAAATTAAGAGAGCACAGAAGAAGTAAATTATAACATATATAGAAGCCATACTATGTGTTCCCTGTGCCCCCAACCCTTTGTTGTAAGTGGTGATGTCCTTTTCCTTGAACATATCCAGAACCACCCAAGCCGTGACCTTGCTGTTCTATCCGTGCCCAGAGAACCTCAGAGGTGGAATTAGACTGCAAAAAGTTGGGAGGCAGTAGTACATATACTAATATTGACAATGGAGGCAGCTGTACAGGGTGGAGATGGTGATGGAGTGAAAAGAATGGTCAGGAAGGTCTGGCGTGCTACTAAATTTAGGCATTCTGGCAATTTTGGTGCAGTAATGCACACATAGCTCGAGTCCCCCTTGACCGATCTTAATAGAATCATACAGTCATATAGAAATGAGTACTATGGATATATTTGAGGCCTCATATTATGCTACAACAATGCTGTTGAGCCCAGAATACACGGTTGACTGAGTGCCGGGCTTAGCTGATTAGGGAGAGGCTAACAGTAGAGTTTGGCATCTTTCCACTGTCTCACTTTTCGCTCAAATACACCTGGGAGCATGCAGGATGCATTCTAGGTGTTGGTAAGTACTGTACAAGTTTGAATGGGAGCAATGTCATGCATCACAGTCCTCTGCAAGGGTTGTAATTTTTGGCTCTTGTCACGGAACTTTGCACCAAATCTGGGCCAAAATTGAGATAAATTCAATGAAAAATCTTTAAAAAATCCCAAAATTACTGTTTTTGGTATTTAGTGCCTGCCGTTGCTCGTGCAGATGCCGGCTTGGATGTCGCACCTCAGGAGTTAGTTGCTCCCATTCAAACTCGTACAGTATAAGACTACCGTGTTTTGGAAGGGATAACAAAAATCCCAATTTCCTTATGATTTTTCATTTTTATGTATTATGAGATATTCTACTGTAACATGAGCTTTGCCAGACAGCAATGCTTCTCCGTGTACTCACAAATTTGTAGCTCGTCAAGGACTGGAAGAGCCACTTCCAGGCTAACCGGCTTGTGAAGGGCCGAATTTTCAGATCAGTTGCCGTCATATGCAAAGTATCTGGCCGGTCTCACATGTATCTCGCAGCAGTATCAACGTCGAGATGAATCAAATTGAGAAATTCCTCCACCCCTCGGATTCGTCATGCGGTGTTCAGCCAACTATTGAGCTTTCTGACCTGTCGGAAGGCTAGAAAGTTGGCGCCAACGTTAAGAAGATTGAGGACTACAGCCTGGTTTTTGAGAGTCCGTGTAGTCACAAGTCTGAGGTAAGCTACGTTGCCATTCTCGACAGACGCAGATCAGGCTAATGTCTACCATAGCTTTTGGATAACTTAGAGGCTCTAGACGAGGAATCTGATGGGCGGCACGTTGCCATCTTCGAGGCACTGTGTAAACATGTCCTAAGAGATGGGATCTCTGGTCAACATATATCAATATGAAAGCTGGGCCAGGGCATCATCATTGGGTTTTTGGTACATTGCGAGACTGCTCCAAAGTTTT